GGGTTGTCGGTCACACAACACACACATACGGCCTCTGCTTTGCTGCAAGAAGGTCGCCTTTTGATCAAGTGAGCTCACTAAGCTGGATTGCGTGTCCTGCCTGCCTATATTGCCTGCCTGGTTGTCTGTCTCTTCTTGAATGAGGGAGGGAGGGAGGGAGGGGGGCAGGGGGGGAGCGGTTACATCAGTCTCTCTGTCTGTGAAGTGTGTAGTATCTATCTACTTGTGTCCTGCCTGCCTGCCTGCCAGCCACACACCCGTGCGCGTGGCCGGCCGACCCAGCCACTCACCGTTTTCGCTGCCCGATTTTTCGCCCGTCGGTCGATCCCTCCATCCATTCATCGGGCAGACAGCAGAGTGAGTGGCAGACACTGGTTCAGTTCTTTCTTTCTGAGCGTCAATGGCCGTCTCGCGGTGGTGTGCTGTGTTCCGAGGGGTGCGAACGTGATCTCTTGGAACGAGCACACACACACACGCCTGATGGTGGTGTGTCTGGATGGCTGGCTGCTGTCCGAGGTGGGTGTGGGGGGCATGCGTGTGTGGGTTTGTGGTGGTGGTGATGGTGTTGGTTGTGTGTCTGTGTGTGGTCATGCTTTGACTGCGGGGGGTTGATGGTGATGGGAGGGGGATGGGGGGTAGATAGGGGGTCCTCTAGCTAGGTTCTTTGTATCATAGTTCATTGGCCGGTGTGATGGCATGGAGTAAGTGGACACACACACGGGCACACACACATATATATACACATGCGATCTCGATCACGATCTCATCTATCTCGGTGGGTGCACCATGCAATCCTCCAGTGGACCTTTGAGACGGCGAGACGTCAGCGAATGCACTTCGCTGAATGTCTCTCCGTCTCTGGCAGCTGCGGAAGGCTTGCTGGGGCACTGCACTGATGAACTGACTGATGAGCCATCTACACAGCATATGGAGCAGATAGACACCACACCCTTTTAATCTCTTTCTGTCTGTTGGTGGAGGTGGGGCGGGCTGTCTTTCTGATCCCCATCCCCACCACGTGTTAATAGCATGGATGGATGGATGGATGGTTTGGTCAGGGGGCGGGGCGGAAGGAAAGGAGGCAGGCAGGAATGCGCCACGACGACCAGACCACCAACACGCTGCTGCCTCTGCCTTTTTTCCTTGCCAGCTGCCTGCCTGACCGACACGTGTTGTAAATAGTTGCTCGCTCGACGGATGGATGGATGGATGGATGCTCCGGACAGACGTGTGCTGCGCCGGGCATGCATACGTCAGATCGAACGACGGGAGGGACCATGGTTGTGAGAGTTTTTGTACAGAGAGAGAGAGTCTGCGCCTCTCCCGAGGCTTCCATTCATCGATCGATCTGTGCCCATAGATAATTCATTCGCTGCATGTGCAGGGGGACGGCGGGGGAGGGGAGGGGAGGGGGGCAAAGGTGAGCCGAGGCGTCTGTGCGTCTCGGGTTTTTCTCGTCCCCCGCTCGCTCGTGCGGCGGGGGGCTTCATCTCATCCACTCGTCCGTCCACTTACTGTAGCTGACTCACTGACTCACTGACGGGTGGCGTGTTTATCTGTCTGTCTGTGTGTGTGTGTGAGGGGTGGTGTGTGTGGGGTGGTGTGTGTGGGGTGTCTTCCACTCTGGCCTGGCTGCACGATGCACCTGCTCGTGGTGTATGCCGCTTGTGGGTGGCAGATAGACTTGCTCTTGACTGGCTAGTGCTGCTTTGGATGGATGGACGGACGGACTGGTGTGTGTGTGTGTGTGTGTCGGGTGTGTGTGTGGTCGGTGCTGGCCCCGGCCCTTTCTCCCTCCCTTCCTCCCTCCCTCTGTGAGCGGCTCGATCAATGGCGTGGGCTGTTGCAGGGGAGGGCACAGGGGGGGAGGAACACCGCGGGGGCACTGCGTATTATCGTTGCGTGTGTACTTGTGTGTGTGTACTTGTGTGTGTGTGTTGCATGCCGTGACTGCCTGCCTGCCTGCCTGGGTGACTTGATCGGACCGTCATCACTACTCGCAATGTTTCTACGCTGCCGTCAATTCATATCTTCTCAAACCACGAAGGGCTGAACGATTCAGCTTTCCGCTTTGAGCCTGCCGAAACCGAAACTAAGCAATAGTGAACCTTCTACCTATCTCAGTGGCTGTCGGTCTGTCTGTCTGTCGGTCTGTCCGTCTGCTTGCCGGTTCATACCCCACCCCTCCACCCCCACAGACATGCGCACGCACACGCAGGTTTCCCCTCCCTGTCGAGTCCGTCCGTGTCGCCCCGATATTGCAACCACAGGTCTGACAGACAGACAGACAGTCACTGCTATCGATTAACAGACAGGCACTGACTGACATCACTGCCTGCCTGGCCGACCGAGCGAGCGCTCTCCGGTTGGTGTGTCGATAAAAATCACGGTCACAAACTCACTCAGTGGCTGGCTAGCTGCCACAAACTGACTGACGATTTCTATCTATGTCTGCAGGACGGAGGGGCCCGGCCCGCCGGACCGGCGCTCGCTACAAGCAGACGGGAAGGAGAGCCGAGAGGAGACAGCAGAGATCTTGACATACAGCCAGAAAGGCAGGCACTTTTCGTGTCTCTGCGTACTCTTACGCCTTGCCCCCCTCTCTCGCCCTCTCTGTCCGCACCTAATCTGCTCTATATCTCCCTCCCTCCCTCCCCCCAGCGTCACTCACTCCATCTCCGTCACGGTGGCGGGGAAGACGCGTCGATAGGCCGCTCTATAAGCGTTGACGTACTCGTTGTCCTTCGTGGGCCGCCCCACCACGCTTGCCACCGAGTGCCTCGGCCCCTTCCCGCCCCCTCCCCGGCCGACGACATGAGTCAGCGCCCTCCGCACAGCCGACCCAACCTCCTCCTCTCTCTCGTGCGACAGCCGCAGGCACCTCTCATAGCCCCCCAGCACCTGCCCGTAGACCCGCGCCACCTCAGCCCAGGTCAGGCCTGCCTGCTGGAAGGCGCACTTGACGCGAACGTTGCAGGTGTCCTTGAGAGAAGGGTCGGTGGAGGTGGGGAGGTCGTCTGCTGGGAGGGTGAAGGTCGTGTGGTGGGGGAGGTGGGTCTTGAAGGTGACGAGGCCGCCCCGGACGTCGACGCGCTTGACACAGGGGGAGTGGCGATGGGAGAAGAGGGCAACGAAGTCGGCTCGGGGGGTGTTGCTCATCAGCCGATAGGTACCCTCCTGATCACATAGAGGGAGGGAGAGGTGCCGCCTCGTGCGGTGTGGTGTGTCTGCGTACCGGTCGTTTGAGTGTGATGCGTGCGGTGTGTGCCCGCAGCGTCTCCACCACCCGAAACGCATAGCGATATCGCATCCGATGCCGAGACGACAGACTCCTGACACACACGCACGCACACAAAGGCTCGATAGATTGCAGCACGAACAGGAAGGACGGCATTCCCTCTCCTTCATTGGCCCACCCCACCGACCTGAAGTGTATTCTCTGCGGTGCCTGTGTGGGGTCTGAGGGGTCCTCGATGCGCACAAACAGCCCCCCGGCCTCTATCACATACCGCAGCTCTCTGCTACCCTCCAACACCTGCGCACGAGGGCCCCTCTCCCTCGAGACGTCGCCATCCGACCGGTCGCCGCTCTCCCCCACCTTCCCTCGATAGGGAAACACGAAGTCGCCCCGCTCGGTCACCTCCATCAGCCCCCACTTGGTGGTCACCTTCTGGGGCGGAACGTCTCGGGTGTCAAGCAGCTCCTGCAGCATGCCGTCCTCCTCACCCCTCATCGCTGGGGCGGTGGTGGTGGTGGTGGTGGCAGCGCCGCCCTCCTGGCCACCGCCGACGCCGACACCCCCACCACCGCCACACACCCCGCCGCCCACCGACATGCCCTCGTTGTTGCCGCCCCGGTCTGACTGCGCCGAGTGCTGGCTGATGCCGTATGCCGGGATGATCGAGTTCATGCTCTGCTCCAGGGACCGGTGCGACATGGCGCAGGACGAGCCGCACACCGACCCACCTCCTCCCCCGCCCCCCACTTGTTGTGCAGGGGACCCCCCACTGCTCTGAGGGAAAGGCACGGGCGTCGGCAAGGGGAAGAAGGACCCACCACCACCCATTATCTGCTGTCTGCGGTGCGAGTGCAGGTCGGTCATGCTCAGCGGCCCTGCGGGGGTCACTCGCTGCGATGGGGCGAGGGAGGGCGACTGGCCGGGCGTCGAGAAGCCGTACTGCGCTCCCCCAAACAGGGGATCATATGGCGACGACAGCTGAGGGTGTGCTCGCGCCGGCGTGTTGGAATACGACCGCAACACCAGCGACGGCGGGATGGGGGGGCGGGGGAAATCGCCCTGTGACGGCGAGGACCGGGGAGGGAGGTAGGAGGGTGGCGGGTGGCTGCCCGTGGGGCTGGAGGGGCCGAACGGGCCTGTGAAGGGGATGTGCAGGCCTGCAGCATCCCTCTCAGGGCTCCCCCGCGGCAAAGGTGGCTTGACTTTGACATTGTGCGGGTCCGCCCTCGCCGTCCAGGGCGACGCAAACCTCTCATCATCAAGCCTCGGCAGCAACGGCGGCGGTTGATGGACATCGGCCTCACCTGCCGTGTCAGCCGGTGGCCTCGGCCGCTCTCGTGAGCCGCTCCGGTTGCTTCGGCGGTCATCCAGCACGTGCACATGTGGGCTCGCCATGGGCCGTGACGGGCTAGCGAGTGGCGAAGAGAAGGGAACCCCGCCCCTCCTCGCGTCTGGCTCGGGTGAGGCAGCCTGGTGGGTCGTGTGGCTGTGGCTGTGGCTGTGGCTGTGATGGCTGGGCAGCGGCTGCCTCGCCGGGCTCATCCGCACAGCCGACGGCGCCATGGCCATGGCGCCCCCATGATCGCTCGACGTGCGGGACATCATTGCACTGGACAGCTGCGAGAAGTGCCGAGAGTCGTCTTCCTTTTCCCTGATGTCGTGGGTGTGGGTGCCTTCGCCGCCGCTGCTGCTGGAGCTGGTGCTCGGCCGGTCTCGCGCCTTCTTGATCCGGGGAATGTCCACCACTTTGTTCTTCTGCGGCAGCACACTGGTAGGGAGGCCGGCTGTTGCTGCTCCTGCTCCTTCTCCTGCCGCTGATGCCGACGCCGACGCCGAGCGAATGGTGGCGGTGACCCCGGGGACCTTCAGCGGCAGACTGCCGATTGACGGGGAGGAGAACGAGTTGTCTGCGTCAGAGTTGGAGCTGTAGGTCAGCGACGATGCCCGTGAGTCGCGCAGAGGGTTCCTGCTCTTCGCCGCCTTGCTCCCTTCCCCGCCGCGCTTGTTGTTGTGCCTGTCGGCCTGGGGGTCCTTGTTCGGCGACAGGTGGATGGCCGTCCCGGTGGACGAGCGGCGCGACGAGGTGCACCCCGACTCCTCGCCAGCAGATATCCGCCGCGGCGCGCCGTCGCCCCGCCGACAGGTGGTCATTGGCGAGACGGAGCTGTTGCTGTCGTCCACCTCATCCAGCCACTTGGGGTCATACCGGATGCGCAGCGGCAGGTCCACTGGCCCCTGCGGACGGCTGTGGTCCTTTACCGCACCTTTGGCCGCCAGCCGGAGGTAGGCGCCTCGAGCGGAGGAGTGGTCGCCATGCACGTGGACGATCGACGATGCCGCCGAGCTGTCCGTCGCCCTCTCCCTCTCCCTCTCGGACAGCCTCGCTTCGTCATGCCCGCCACGGTCCAGGTCTATCGGCAGCTCCTCCAACCTCGCCGCTGGCGACTGCGGCTCCTCCCTCTCCTCTTCGTGAATCACCGGAATGCCCTGACCCGGCGGCCACCTGGTAGCCATGGTGGACGACACCTGGCTCACCGGCCGCACTCGGTGGTGGTCCCTCTCTCTCTCCCTCTCCCTCTCCCTCTCGCGCGGCGAGGCCATCATTGGCCCATGCGACACGAGAGTGGCCGAGGTGGAGAGGTCCGACATTCCCGCACGGCCGGGGAACGGCGGGGACGACTGGTCGGACGGCGGGGGTGCGGGATACGGTGACCGCTGACACGTGTCGATGGTCCTGGGTGGTCTGAGGGAGTCTGCGTCGCTGGACGGGGCGGGGGTGTGTGGGTGTGGGTGTGGCGGCAGGGGAGGCTTGTCTGGCGACGGGAGGTGGCGAGGCGGCACTGGGGGGGCGTCGTTCAGAAAGGGATGGTCGATGAGCGAGGGCAGGTTGGGCTGCAGGCAGTAGGTGGGATCCAGCAACCGACGCAACAAGTCGGCAGCCTGCCAACAGACACACCGAACAAACAGCCCAAACAAATGCCGCCCGCGATGTGGTGAACGAATGCACTTCTCCTCTCTCTCACCTGGGGCGATACGGCGTCCGGCAGTGGCTCGAGGTCGCTCGCCGTCCGCTCGAACGCCCTCACCGCGCCCACGCCCCGGCCCTCCACACGCCAGGGCGCCCTCCCCACAATCAGGTGGTACAGCACGCCGCCAGCCTGCCAGAGGTCGCCGGCAGCCTCATACTGCAGGGGGGGCAGATGCGATGCCGACTGCGGTATGGCTGGAATGAGCCCCGCCTGGCCGAAGTCGGTCAGGCGCAGGTCTAGCTCACGGGTTAGCAGGAGATTGGACAGGCTGATGTTGCTGAACACCCAGAGACAGAGACAGAGAGAGAGAGAGAGAGAGAGAGAGGGAGAGGGAGAGAGGGAGGGAGAGTGTTGTTGTGGTTTTGATGGCATGCTTGATTGATGCCTGCCCACGCATCGCACTTACCCGTGTTTGACGTTGTTTTGGTGGAGGAAGTGTATGGTCTGCAGCAGCCGGCGCATCCACGACTGCACCCACAACTCGGGAAGCCCAACACTACCTGAACGAACGAACGCACCAACACCAACACCAACACAGAAAGAGGGACACACACAGAGAGAGGGAGAGAGTGAGTGCAGCTGGCTGGCTGGTACGGTACACCTGACCTCTCTGGTGCTGAAAGTTGAGCAGGTATCTCTTGAGGTCGCCATTGTCACAGTACTCGAGCACCAGCCCCTTGTGGTGGCGCGTGTCAAACGCCCCAAGCACGCGGCATATCCCATGGTGCCCAGCGCTCCCCTGGGTCTCGCGCATCGGGTTCGACCACACCAGATTGTGATAGAAAATCTCGTTGTCCACCTGTGTGTGATGCAGACGTAGGACACACAAACCCACTCCATAGGACCATAGAGCCATGCATGCACTGCCAGTGCTCTCCTGTCGCCCTGTCACCTACTTGTGCGCGCAGCTCCGGCGTGTCCAGCTGGTTCTTTGTGTAGGTCTTGAGAGCGACCGGCCCCGCGTGGCTGGCGCCGTCGGTGTGGAGCACATTGGGCACGGCCCGCCAGACGGTGGCGTGCCGGGTCCCCCCGATGTGCTCCTTGCCGTGGAAGTTCGAGAGATCAAAGCAGCGCTGCTGCCCGCCGCATTCCATCGCTCACCGCAAACCCATCACGCCAACGCTATCACAAGACGCCTCACCGAGGCCCTATCGACGGCCACATGCCTCACAAATGGCTGCAAGTGGCTCATCGCTCTCGTGGCTTAGGGTCCTTGTGAAACGGGATACTGAGAATGGCGAGCTTTTTTTTGTTGAGGAATTCTTGCGTTGAGGTTTTGAAGGCCTGATTTGATCAGATGCTGCCGAGCAAGCTCGAGATCGGCAGCATTGCGGCTGCGACAGCGGGTCTCAAGCGCCTCAGGGGAGAGCCATGCGGGGCAACGAGCGAGTCGCCTCACAAGGTAGGGGAGGTGGGCAGCACGACCCGACCAGAAGGGCAGGCTTCAAGTTGCCGCAGCGCAATGCCTCACTCCCACGTTGCCGGCCATTTCTGCCGTTGTGTTGACCGTGGGTATATACCGTCTTGCGTGTGTTGCAGAGGCGTTGCTACAATGTGCCGCTGATGAAGCCGCCCCTGCCCGCCCCTCCGCCGCAGGGCGAAGTGCCAATTGCACCAAACTCTGACAACGGGGCCTCGGTGTGTGAGCTGACGACAGTCAGTCAGCCGATCGTGGCCGCGCGTGTGTATGTGTGTGTGATGGTCTTCCTTCGTGTGTGTGGGGCTGTTTGTTTGTTGTCAGGGTCGGCCGGTGCAGGCAGCGTGGAGCAGCGAGGAGGACGCCCACCTGTACCATCTGGTCATTACCTGTGGCTCCAACAGGTGGGCAGTGCAGTGCCGCACAGAGAGCAGGCAGCGGCGGCGGCTCGGCTGTGGTTCATTCAGACATCCGTGTGCTCTGGCTGGCCTCCCTCCCTCCCTCCCTCCCTCCCTCTGTGTGTTGTGCGTCCGTCAGGTGGCGCGACGTGGCCGCGGCCCTCAACCACAAGTGGCACAACAACAGGACACGTAAGCTCCTCTTGTGTGCTATGGGCACCCGCCATTCGGCATTCCACATCTGTGTCGGTTTGTTCAGCGAAGCACTGCCGTGAGCGTTGGGTGCTGCACGTCGACCCCACCATCAAAAAGTTAGTCTCAGAGCCTTGTGTGCACCGACTGACTGGCACACAGGCAGGCAGACACATGTGGTTGTGTGCTCTGTGCGCCTGCACTGCACTCAGGGGCGAGTGGACCGAGGAGGAAGACCACCTCATCGTCGCCAAACAACGAGAATGGGTTCGTCACAGCGAGCCACGACACTTTACTGGTTGTCTGTGTGCGACGGACGTTGCCTGGTTGTGTCGTCTGTGTGCTCACTCACAGGGCAACTGTTGGGCTGACATCAGCCGTTGTCTGGAGGGCCGTGCGGTGCAGGACGTCAAGAACAGGTGGCACCAGCTGTGGCGGCTCGCGCAGCGACGCGACTTCCAGTCCATTCAGTTCGACGCCACCGACCCCAAGGAGGACCAACACATAAGGCGTACGCAATGCTTCCCCTGTCTGTGTCTGTGCTGTTGGATGGATGCCCTTCTGTCTGCCTGGTGTGGTGTGTGTCTGCAGTATCAGCCGTCATCTATATGCTGCACCATGGCCACAGCGCCCCCAAGACCACCACCACCACCACCAGCAAGACCAAAGGAACCGCCTCGCCACAAGAAGAAGGAGGAACACCCGGCCCGCTCCCTCCCCTCCCCACACCCCCTTCGATGCCTCCCCTGCCCTCCCCCTCCCCCGAGCCCTCCCCCTCACTCTCCCCACCCACACACACACACGCCCACGCCACAAGGGGCGGCGGCAACGGCGTGAGCAGCGACTACCTTAACTACCTCTGGGTCATATCCCTCTTCGAGGCGCAGCTCAACGCCACTCTCGCCAAGGACAAGGACGGCACCAAGGATATTGCTAATGCTCCTGCTGCTGCTGCTGCCGGCGGTGGGTCGGCAGATGGATCAGCTGGTCCGTTGGAGGGATTGACGGCCAGCGAGCTGATCGAGGCACAGACGAGGTTTGTGCAGGACTACGTGGGCAGGCAGCTCAGGGAGGGGGGAAGTGGTGGCAGCGGCGGCAGTGGCAGTGGCGGCAGTGGTGGAGGGGACATGCCACTGCACCCAGGTAAAGTGAGTTGTTGGGTTAGGGTGACTGACGGACGAATGAACAATGGCTGTTCTGTCTGTCCGTCTGTCTGTCTGTGTCTGTGTCTGTGTCTGTTGTGTCAGCCTTGCGGGCTCTGTCGTCCTTCTCGTCGGCGGCATCGGCTGGTGGTGGTGGAGGGGAAGCTTGCAACCACCTCCCCTTCCCGCCGTCACTCTTCCCATCACCCGACCCACAACACCCACAGCACCCACACCAGCAACTGGAGCGGCGACTCGGTGTCTCACTCTCGTCGGCAGAAGGTGTCAAGGCGGAGAGGGGCGTGGCTACGGCGCCACTGGCCTTGTCGTGACTAAGGACCGGGGGTGTGTGCCCCAAATGTATTTAACGGCGGATGCATGTGTGCCTGTGTCTGTGTCTGTGTGCGTGTGTGCGCGAACCTCTGTCTCTGCTGCCTGTGAGAGGGTGTATGTGTGTGTGTATCGGTGCTGCACGCACGATTCATCCGATTCTACTTACCGAGCGGCCTATTATGCCTGTGACCCCGTAGGTCAGATCAATCGACTTATTTGGTTTGCGACTGATTTGGCTTGTAGTGAGGTGACCGGCGGCCAAGTGAACAGAGCAGAGACAGAACAGGACAGGACAGGACACAGCACGACTAAAGTTTTTCCGCGGGCTAGGCTTGTTTCGGTATCCTGAGTACGCGATGGCCCTTGTTGTCTGCTGGCTGGCTGGCCGATGAGTCAGTCGGTTAAGGTGTGCTCCTAGTGGTATGTGATCCGGATGCCATCACGGAAGTGGATAACAACAATTCAGTGCTGTATACTTGTCTCTCCTGCACCTTTCTGCTCGTCTGTCTGTTCGTCTGGTGGGGGCGTGTGTTGATGTCGCGTCGGGTGACGATGGCAGACGTGTGTTACTCCCACATGCGGCCGCCTCCGTCACCAGACGCGCCGGCACCGACACACGCCCCGCACCCGGCCATTGATGGACACACCGATGGCTGGATGTGTGCATGTGTTTCTCTCTGTCTGTCTGGGTTTGTGCTGGCTGTGTATGTGTATGTCTGTTCATCCAGACCGACCCATTGAGGCCGGCAGAGAGAGCAAAGACGGTCATGTGCATAAAATTAAGTGTCTTCCCCCGTTCGTTGACTACGCAACAACGTGACGAGCGAAGCATTCGTGTCGATTTCCACTCTTCTCGGGTCCATCCATCCATCCGTCCATCCCTCCATCCATGTGTACACCCCAACAGCATCGGTCGGTCGGTCTGTTGGTCAGGCGAGTGCCGCTTTGGGTTTGTTGAAGAATGGCTTGAGCGACCACTCCACCTCCACGTCGCGCATGTCCACCGAACCCAACTCTATCCGATACAGACGCATCACGAACCTGCACACACAAAAGAGCACAGAAACGTACGTATCTCTTGCTCGGTTCGCACCCACCCATCTCTCGCCCCATCGACCCACCTCGGGCCCGCCTCAGTGAGCTGCAACTGCTCCTTCTGCTTCTCTTCTGCCCTCTCCTTCTTGCCCTTCGGCTGCCTCTCCTTCTTGCCCTTCGGCTGCCTCTCCTTCGCCTCGTCCTTGCCCGTCGCCGCCTGGCCTGCATCCACTGCGCACACACACACACACACCAACAACAACAACAGCACACATGGTACACGCCCTGTGTGTCTTCCTTCCCCGGTTGCGTGACTGACCGGCAGCAGCAGCAGCAGCAGCAGCAGCCTCTCCTCCGCCGGGCTTTGCCTTTGCCCACGTGTGGTGTCTGAAGTGGATGAAGTCGCCCTGGTTGATGAAGCTCATGCACCGCTGGCCAAGCGGCGCCGCCGGCGGGAACAGGTGCTTCAGGATCGTTTCGACGCGACGACCCAGCTTCGACTCGAACTGGTGGAAGATCAAGTGCGGGGAGACCTGCAGACCAGACACACACCACATCCCGAGGGAGGGAGAAGGGATGGGATGAGCGAGCGTCTCGTCTGCCGTCCACCCTCCGTGCTTCTCACACACACACTTCTGAGATGTTTGGCGGCTTCTTGGGCAGGTCGTGCCGCAGGGCCACCTCAGACAGACCGAAGTAGGCCGTGGGGCCATACGGCAGGTGGGAAACGATCAGCCCATCAGGCTCGCCTTCAGAACAAAGATGCATCCAATGAAAGCCAACACGACCACAGACAAAATTTTCCAGATGGATAGATATCACCTCCCTCCCTCCCTCCCTCCGACCCTCTGTGCGTGCGCACCTCTGTGCTCGTGAACAATGACTAGATCTGTGACGTCGTTTGTTTGGCAGAGTCGCACGAGGTCCTTGAGGATGTAGGCACCGCGGTTGATGCGCTGGGAGGTGGGGAACAGCAGCCGCAGCTCCTTGGCAAACTGCGCCAGCCGGCTAGACGGGTCGCGCGCCGTCGTTATCAGCACCTTCGGGTCTTTCACTCCTGCAGGCCAGTCAGTCGGTCAAGACACACACACACCACACAGACAGAGGCAGCAACAGCCGAGAAATGGGGCTCAGTCGTCCATCGTGGCATCGCGGTCTGGCATCTCATCTACCTCTACCTGCGTAGGCGTATTCGTCGTCGATCTGCGAGCGCATCTGCATGGTCCGGTCATCGTCGAGGTCCAGCGTGGGCCTCAGCCGCTTGTCGGCGCCCCTGAGCTCGGTGGGAATGCTCTTGCCGCCCTCGAGGGCGTCCTTGAGCTTCCGCTTGCGGTCGCTCACGGCGCGCTCCTTGTCCTCGATGCTCTTGCGGTAGAGATACTCCTTCCGCAGACGAACGTTCCGACGCAACATGCTGACCGATGATGTCAGGAGGGGCAGATTTCGGTCGAATCAGGTGCAGGGAGAGCAAGCACAGAGAGGGAGGAGAGGCTGTGCGGAGGACGAAGACCAGGCGAGCTCAATGTGCGAGCTGAGTCGACCTTCTGCGAGAGTAGACGTCGCTTGGGCAGCTGTTGACAATCCTGTGATCTGTTTCATCATTACTTCGGTTGGCTTGGCTCCTCGGTGTTTGTGTCTTTCTTGTGTCGATACGGCTGGCTGCTGGTGACTGTGGTGCCTGAGTGAGTGATTGTTGCTGTTGGATAGTAGATGAAGGCGGCACCATGGCGTGCTGCTCGACGGGCGTCGTAACCGGCACAGCGCGGCAGGCACCACCATGGCGACAAGTAAGTGAAGTCCTGGCACAGATCACATCGCACACAGCAAAGCACAGCACTGCTGACACACACACTTGCCTGTCTGTCTGTCTGTCTATCTGTCTGTGTGTGTGTGTGGTTTGTCAAAGGGACTCGGACTTTGTTTGTGGGACTTGACGGCGAGGAGTTCTTAGTCATCCGTCCCGACGGCGAGGAGTCCCGGCTGTGCAGATCCATCAAATCAGAGCTGCACGCCAGGTGCGCCGGCGTCAGCATAGAGTTCGTGCAGCCATACGGCCGACGAGACCACCCCTATCGACTGCTCCCCGGCTGCCCCTCCGTATGGCTCGCTCTCAAGCGCCGACCGGTTCTCAACTCCTCGGCGACCGACAGCCGCAAGAGGCCGCGGTCCACACCGGCGGCATCGGAGGACCTCGCAACCACCAGAGAGCTGCTGAGGAAAGGTACACAGCCCCCCCCCCCCCCCCCCCCCC